CAGCAGCAGGCAGCTGTTTCCAGTCCACTGCGCCCAACCTGTCCAACAACAAACAGCAGATGCACTGTTATAGCTGGTGAAGATAGTGGAGCATTTAGCAGTTTAAGAGCTGGTGGAGACAAAAGAGATCTAAAAAGAGCGTGAATATTAAACTAACATTCATCAAGTTGCTCTGTGTTAGTGTGGGGAAAAAATGGAATATCATGTGTCTAATGAATCTTCAGTCATGATTAGATAATTGTAATTAGTCTGTATCTCTGTTGGTGTTTGTGTGTGTGAATGTTGTTGACTTTATTTCATACAGAATTGACTGCTGAAAACCACTCAGTGCTTTTCCTCCCAGAGGACACAGCTTAAGATGCTTCCTGCAGCTCTCAGTTTCCTAAACTTGGTGAAAATGTACCCTTCAGTGAAATGTAAAGCAGCGAAATGAAGGAGGTTGTGCATTGCCACAGGCTGTGTGAAGCTCCAGTTTGTGGTTTTATGATCTTCAGCATCCACCTTCACTGACTTAAGCGGTGCACATTGTCTGTGTCGAGCAAATGTTGGCATGATTTTCACACTTCTTCATCTATAATTTGACTAGTATTTATTATTTAGCCTTTATGTATCAGAGTATACAGTGACAAGCTTGGCGCATTTTGCTTTTTTGGAAAATCTACATAGCATGAAGCATGAAAAGAGAAGTTTCCTTGCTAAACAGTAGTGATTTATATTGCATTTTAAAAATATTTAGTATATCACTCCACCTCTCATTTTTAGGATTCAGATATCTCATGTGTAGAAATGGGTGGCGGTCTCTGCCTTGTAATAACATAAAGTCATTGGGAAGCCTGACATGGGTACTAACAGATGACTGTAATCTGCCTGCACACACAGTAATCTGATTACATGTTGTTTTAGCTGTAAATTGTGAATTAAAAAGTACATCTGCTCAGTGTGTGTCAGCCGTACTTCCCCTCCATCCTTGGAGACACAGAGAGTGTTGACAGAAAGAGGGAACGGCTCGAGTGGCTTATTCCTATCTGGATTTCCTATCACAAACACATTCACACAGACATGCCTGCACACTCCGGTGAAACCAGAGTGTCTCACAGGCCTTTGGTTGTTCTGGCAGAATCCCGCATTCTTGTGTTCCTGAAAAACGGCTGACTCTGCCATGGTTGGGAGTTCAACTCCCCGCGCAGGTGATTGCTCGAGGTCACCGGTTCAGTTTCCTCTCGGTTGCTAGAAACATGTTATTACCGTGGCACACAGCCCACCTGTAAATGAGCCGAAGCAGAGAAAGCACTGGCCAAACACGTTCCAGTGAAAGGCTGCCTCCTGAGCCCACATTAAACACAACATACTTGTTTGTGTGCATGTGTGGTTCAGCCATTTTTATAGGGGTGTGAATCTCGATTCAGAGGGCTACAGTGCGATGACCCGACTTCAGTTGAAGTTTTTATCGCTCTGAGGTGTGTTCATGTTTCTGTTTTATTTAGTTATTTGATGCTATAAAAAGGTGGTTTCACGTCATGATTGACAGCTCAGCCCTGCTTACGATTGACTCAGCCAGTGGCATGGCCCTGTTTTTGGTTTCCAGTCTTTCCTTAGAGAAATATCTTGCTCTTTAGCTGCTCAATGCTCCACTCTATTCAACAGCTAGTCTCCAACAGCCTGTGTGGAGTCCACCATGTTTATACAATAGGCCAACTTTTTTTGCTTTTTTCACATGTTTTGTAGCCACCATAGCTTCTCCTTCACACTTGGAAGGGGAGTGTGAATTGAGACAGTTGCAATCTGCAACTACACTGCTAGATGTTACTAAATCCTACAACCTGGTCCTTTTTAAGTCATTTTTTTAAGGAAAAATGGCAAATTATTACTCACTCCAGCTTCTCAAATGTAAAGGCTTTTCCCTGATATCAAACTGAAGTCTTGCAAGCATTCTGGACTGTTTGTTAGACAAACAACACATTAAAAACTGCACTGTGGACGCTTCGGCTACTTTGCCGACATTTTATCGATCAATCGTATTCATTGGGAAAAGAAATTCCGATAATTAACAATGAAAATAATGTTTTGTTCCAGCCTTTCACTCCCTAAACGAACAACCAGCATGTTTGCTAATGATTTGCACTGATAGCAGAAGAATGATAAATGAGATAATCAAACATCTGAAAACAATTACACTCACCTGGCAGACTAACGGTCTCAAATACAAGTAGCTTCTTAAAGTGAACACCATGCAGTGCGACTGCAATAAAGCGGTTTGTTG